ACAGGCGCCGAGCCATGGTGAAGCTCTTTTTAAATTGTTTTAATGACTTTTAAGCACATTTTTTCCCCAAGCTGTTTTATACAACTTCTGAGATTTATGTTTTTGAAAATTCCAAGTTGGTTGTTGGAACTTTTTTTTTTTTGAGACAGAGTCTCACTATGTCGTCCTCGGTAGAGTTCCGTAATGTCATAGCTCATAGCAACCTCTAACTCTTGGAGTTAAGCAATTCTCTTGCCTCAGCCTCCCAAGTAGCTGGGACTACAGGAGCCTGCCATAATGCCTGGCTATTTTTTTGTTGCAGTTGTCATTAGTGTTTAGCAGGCCTGGACTGGATTCAAACCCGCAGACTTAGGTGTATGTGGCCAGCACCCTACTCACTGAGCTACGAGTGCCTCCCAAACTTTTTCCAATTGTATGTTTCTTTTATAATTAAATAGCTTTAATAAACTTCATCAGAAAAAAATCAAATTTCAACACAAGCAAAGAATTGGCCCATTTTGTTAGATGTCATTGAAAAGACAATGATGATTCATTTTTCAACTCTTTTAAATTATACTTTGATTACTGAACAAATAGGTGCCTTTTATAAATAGTATAATCAATGTTGACATTATAAAGTCAGGAGTGAGAGTTCCTCTCAAATTTCCACTCCACTGTGCAGCATCAGCATTACCCAGAAACTTGTTAGATTTGCTGAAACTTTGGTCCTCGCTCCAGTCCTACTAAACCAGATTCTAGGAGTGGAAGCTGGCAATCTCCTGATGGTTCTTATACATGTTGAAGTTTCTGATGCCCTTATCTATAATATATCTTCCTAACTGCTGTCCTGCAAGGTATGGTCTCTTCAGCTCCTATGCAATACAGCTGGGGCATGGAGGGGCTTGAGTCCTAGTTGCCTTCAATATAAACATCCTTATCTTTAAAAAAAATTATGTACATATATATATAATTTTTTTTTTGAGACAGAGTCTCATTATGTCACCCTTGGTAGAGTGCTGGGACATCACAGCTCATGGCAACCTCAAACTCGTGGGCTTAAGAGATTCTTTTGCCTCAGCCTCCCAAGTAGCTGGGACTGCAGGTGGCCATCACAACATCTGGCTATTTTTTTTTCTGTAGTTGTCGTTGTTGTTTGGCAGGCCCTGGCTGGGTTCAAACCCAC